TAAAATATATGGCTGATGACAATCGGGGAAAATCAAAGCCTAACGAATTCCCGAAAAGAACTTCGAATTTCTCCCCTTATAGAGTAAACTCCCCTGATTATTTGCATTTGTTTTTTTCTCCCTATCTTGACACAAATAAATAGCACCGACGAGGATGCCCGCTGCGCAATGTTGAAGGATCGCGAGAAGCTAATGGAGATTCAGGTGCGCCTGCTGCTCTCCTCGCGGGCCGAGATGCAGAAGGTCATTGAGACGGCTCGAAAGGGAGTCTCCGCTCCGGCGCCCATTTCCGTTCCAGTGCCCATGCCAGTTGTTGCACCCATTTCGGTGCCCAAGCCTAGTCTAGCTGCTCCCATGCCTCCGATTATCGGGGGTTTGAACAGCTTCCTGGGCCAAAGCAAGGTGGCGGCGCCAACAGGTGGGGTGCCGTCTTTTTTGGCCTACCAACAACAGGCCGGGATCCAGCTCTCCGAGATCACGGGCAGCCGCAGTCGCAGCCGCTCCTCCAGTTCCGATGACAGCGACAGGGAGCGTGAGAGGGAACGCGAACGGGAACGCGAACGGGAACGTCAACGGGAACGAGGTCGCAAACGCCACTCCGATCGTTTGGACAATAGCCAGGAAAGGGAGCTCAAGATGGCAGCAACACCATCTCCGTGGGCTCAGCCACCCCAAAATCAAATGCCAGCTGGTGGCATGGGATTGGGTCTCAACATGGGTTTGAGCCTCAATATGCCACCGGTTTTACCCGCACTGCAAAGCTACACCACTAGTAGCACCACCAACAACGTGACCAACAACTACAATCTCGCTCCAAGTGCTCCCAACGCCCAGCTGCTGGCCGCTCTGCAGCAAGTGGCCAGCGGTGGTGGTGGTGTTGGAGCTAGTGCACCAGCTCAAGTGCAGCCCACCAAATCCGAAGGCGAGCCCATTGCCTTCGCCAGCGTGAATCCCTATGCACAGATGTACCCGCAGCTGTTCCAGCAACAGCAGCTGCTTCTCCAGCAGCAGCAGACTCCGGCCAAGGTGTCACCCTCCATCGGTGGCTCTCCGGGAGGTGGAAACACGCCTCAGGTTGTTGCAGACACCTGCTACATTCGAATAAGTGGCATGTGCCAAAATACCTCATACAGCGATATCCGCAAGTACTTCCAGGGGCTGTACATTCCACACAATGGCATCAAGATCATGATGTCGAATGGCAACCGCACCGGAGTGGCCTACGTGGAGTTCTCCCGCGTGTCCAGTGCTCAGAAGGCGGTGCAACGGAACAACACTATGTTCCGGGATCGCTTGATTCAGATAGCCCCAGTGGGCGACGAAGAATTCGAGCAGGCGGAGGAGCGTGCCAATCGCCAGCAAAGCGAGGGAAACCGCAGTCATAACCACAACGGTGGCGAGAGGAGCGAACGTAGCGGAGGAGGTATGCCCATGCCCATACCCATCACCAATGTCCTCTATGTGGAGGACCTGCCACAGCTCACCACCGAGCAGGAGATCATGAAGATGTTCTCCGCCAGCTACACCGTTGTGGACATCCTCCTGAGCCCCAGTCCCAACAATCGTCGCGAGTGCGTGGCCTTTGTCCTGTTTGCCAGGGAGGCCGATGCAGAGGCCGCTCTGCAGGATACCGCCAAGCACTATATAGGATTCCGCCAGCTGAGAGTGAGGCCCAGCAGTCAGGCGGAGATGCAGAATGCCAAGGAGAAGCAGCGCAGAGCCAACGAGCAGCTGCTCAAGGAGGAGGCCGATCAACGGGAGGAGCTTTTGAAGGATCAGCAAAGGAGGCAGAAGCTGCAGCAACAGGAGCAGGAGAACAATAACAAAGCCAGCAGGTTCGCCGCCGATCCTAGAAGACGCCAGATGGATGAGCAGCAGCAGCAGCAAAAACAACAGCAGCAGCTTCAGATGCAGCAGCAGCAGATGAATATGGGTCCCAGCATCAATCACAATATGAATCCCAACATGATGCCTGCCTTTATGAATGGTGGCAACATGCCCTTCAACATGCCACCCCACCAGCAAAACGGAGACAGCAACTTCCCGTTTAACATGAACAGCAACTTCAACATGAATAACAGCGGCGATCTTAATGGCAATGGACCGAACTTCCACAACGATAACGGAGGCGGGGGTGGCATCCAGCGTCCTCGGCAAGAAGACGTCTTCGTGCGCGTCCACAACTGCGAGTATGCCACCAGGGTCAATGATCTGGGTGAACTCTTCTCCCTCGAACAGCTGGGCATCGAGCACATCGAACAGCTTTTCAACGAGCGTAACCAGAGTTCCGGCGAATTCATTGTGGAGTTCACAGATCCTGCCAGCTGCAAGCAGGCCATCAGAGAGTTTCACAATCGACGCTTTCGAGGAAGGGGACTGCGAGTGGTTTCAATCACACCACAGGAAATTGCTGATAGGATGAATAAGCCCTTCATGGACTATCTGCCGGGAGGAAACGGTTCCAGGAATGTGGAAAGTAACGATGTGAGTGGAAGTGGCAGTGTAAATGGAGGTAGTGGAAGATCAGACGGAAGTCACGGAGCACCGCCATCCCGTCGTCGGGGACCCAGTCGCTTCGATCAGCCGCAGGATCAGCCACCAGAGCGCCTGGAGCGACAGCAATCATTGGAAAAGGAGGAGAACAGCAATAGCAGCTCCAACGCCCCCGTCAAACAGCACTTTAATCCCTTCGCTCGACCGGATCCTCCTCTGAGCAGCAGCTCCCTCTCGCCCAGCAATCTGAGCCAAAGCAAGCAGGCCTCTCCAGTGCCCGTACCAGCTTCCCAAATCCCGGACAAGTTCAACCGTCCGGGATGCGTCGTGGCCATGCGAAATGTCCCCTTCAAGGCGGAGCTAAAGGATATCCTGCGCTTCTTCGGCGACTACAAGTTAAGTCCGGATGACATCATCAGACGTTTCAATGATGAAGGAAAACCCACCGGAGACACTCGGGTGGCTTTTGAATCGCCATCAGAGGCACGTTCCGCTTTCGAATCGCGCCGCAGGAAACAGATATTCAATCGCACCGTCTACCTGGATATTATTTAGGCTTCTGGCCCTCGACTGTCTGACCATCGCTAGTGTATATTGTAAATAAGTAATATTAAGACTAACACCAAACATATTAACTAGATAAGGGCATGGACCGTTTAGAGGTCTGGATATCCTGGCCCCAAAGCTGTTTCATTTGGCATGTACATAGACTTGTTAAAATAAAACTAAAAATCATGCGCAACAAAGCGAATATTCTGTTTAAACAGTGCGTAAAAACTTTACATTTATACATTTAAATGTGGAAATACGATACCCAAAGACGCATAGTAACTTCATAAACCTATCAACGCCTATGTTTGATTTTATTTTTTTTAACAAATCCATTTTATGTAAGTCTTCAAAAATATTTTAATATTAAGAACATGATTGTAAGTCATAACAAAATAAAACTTTGTTTAAAATGTTACAAAACCAACAAAATATTTGTCCAAAACTAAGGATGGATACGTGTTCCTACCTATATAATAGTATTAACCAGAATAGTTTTCCTCCTAAGAGCTTCTCAATAAAAATATTCATAATACATACTTTATAGGTCCAAAAATACTCTCCATAACACATATAAAAAGCTATACAAATCAGTGGCAATCTTAATCCAATCTTAGGCATAGTTCTGTAGCGGTATCACTTGTGACTTTTTCAGTGACTCCCGGCACAAGGGGCATTCATCCCGCTCCTCCAGCCATTCGAGCAGGCAGCTCCAACAGAAGATGTGCCCACAGGGAGTCAAACTGCTGTTGGAGCGTGGTTCCAGGCAAAGAATGCACTGCGGGGCATCTGGATCAGCGTGCCTTACACTCAATCCTCGTTGCAGAAACTTCTTTCCGGTCTGCTTAATAGCTTCCAGCTGCTGGCGCTTGTGCTCCCGCCAGGCGTCCCAGCCACTGATGGCCAGCGAAAAGCTGACCTGCAGGAATGTGATGACACCCAGGATCTTGTAACCGTACAGCGAGAACTCCGGCTGCAACCAGTGGCGGATGAGTACGTAGTTGATGCCTGTGGTGCGCTTGGACAGTTGGTACTTGCTGGCGTCCAAGTAAAAGAGTGATTTGTGCAGGGCCTTGACATAGCTGGGAGATTGCCTCAGTCTTTGTATGATCTTTTTGAGCTGCGGCTTGGCCTCTGGTCGGATCTCCTCGTGGTTGGCCACATAGGTGTCCAGTTTCTGCAGCAGTCGCTGGAACAGGGAGTCGCCACCAAACTCCAGAACAATAGCTATGAGTTGCAGCTGGAAATAACATGAGATCTTAGGATACTTTTATAAAGAATGCCTTTGTTATGTTTACCAATCTGCTGGGTATCTGCTTGTAGTTACCGTCCACCTGAATGATCCCCGTGTATTCCTCGCCCAGGGTCTGGAGGCTATTGGCCGAGGCGAATCCATGGTAACTCAGCTCTGCCAGCAGCCTGCACATCTGGTTGTACTTTATCCAGTTCCGCGGACCGGTGAGACGCAGGACATCGGAGAAATCCTCAGCCAGCTCGTTGGTGTACCGGGCATCCTTCTGCACGGATCTCACGATCTCCGGCTGCCGGGCACGGGCATTCCGAAAGTCCATGCTGACGGGGCTAATGGAATGTTGACTTTAACATATTTCATCCAAAGGCCGATCAAAGTGCGGACCAGATAACAAAATCAGCTGTTTTGTGCGGGTTGTTGCTGCTTCTTCTTGATAATTGAGATGACACTTTTGCTAGGAATAATAGTGGCATTTTTAAACACTGAATTTGAAAGCGGAGCGCTGACACGATGATGCTTATTGCTCATTATTAAATTCAAGTTTTAAAATGCAAAATGGCTAGTGTTTCTATTTAACTTTAGTTGCTTCCCAATCAAATTTTTCATAGTTTTTTCAATCAAAATTGTTTGTTACAACTTTCAAAACATTTGCTCATGCAATAGTCACGACCAACGGAACGCGCACCTCTAGCTAACGGCGGCGCACTTTCCAACACTTACAGTCAGCCATTTTGCATTAGGGCATCGCGGATGCTTTTTCTCCCTGACCAAAGGATATTTGGTTTTTCCATCAAAATTCGTTGATTTCGAAACGTTAATTCGAAAGCCCCCAATAAACGAGATTGTGTACCGGCAGCGTGTGTGCAATTGGCAAGTGGAAATTGTCGGAAAGGAACAGTTTTTGACCCAGAAAAAGTAACCAGCCGAAGACGTCACACCTTTTCAGGCACCAATACGATTACAGTTACTAATACCACGACTCACAGACTAATACCACAACAAAAACAAGTGCTAGAAAACAAGAAGAAGAAGAACTAGCGAACCTATCCGCAAAAGTCAAAGTACTTTTTAGTACTTTCGCCTCGAATTTATCTGCATTTCCTCGCGAAAGCCGCATTGAACTTTTGGAAATATTACGCAAGTACTATTTCTAGTCGTACCCGTTGGTTAATCATGGCTCAGTAAACATGAATCCGCAACGAGAATACCCTGCTCAACGCACTCCGTGTGGAGACCAAGGCAAGACGCAATTAGCCGCCCGCTGGCAGCTGCCCAGCCATACCACCAGTTCTATTCCCCATCCCGAGTGCACTCACTATAGCCACAACGATGGACAGCAACAACAACAACAACAACAGCAGCAGCAAGAAGCAGCCTCAATCCTCGCATCATGCCAAGTCCTCGTCTGGTGAATCGCAAAGGAAGTCCAGTGGTGGGTGCTCCAATTGTACTCTTGCTTCTCATTCTCTAGCATAGAATGAAAAAGATTGGCATTTCTGCCAATAATTTTTCAATATATAGAAATATCACCTTTCAACTATAATTCCTACATTTTTCAATATACTTATTCACCTTTCTCCCCAGACGTACATGCCAACAGCAACAAGCAGCGGAACAACCGCCGACGGGAGCAGCTTCCCACACCACGCAACGATCAGCAGCAGCGCAGCACCAGGCAGCAGCAACAGCAACAGGCACAGCAGCCTGCCAAGCTACGTCCCAATGTGGACAAGCGACCTAGGGCTCGCGGGGGCGGAGGGACATACGATTTCCCTGCCTCCCGCGGCGAGGACGGGACTCCAGGCGGCTCCCGACTAGCCTACGCCGGCGCCGGCTACCCAAGTAGCGGTGACTTTGACCATGAACTGAACTCTGTGTACGCACAGGGCAGCAAGAAGCAGAACTTGAACCATCTGCTTAACTTCCACTGCGTGCCCAGGGAACTGGAGCGAGGACATCACCATCAGCACCAGCAGCACCACGGCGTTGGCAGCCGGAAGCAACGCTACAACAAGGAGCAGTTCCTGCAGGCCAACTTCCAGTTCGTCATTCGGTCGGGGGCAAAAGCCCAGGTGAATGGTTCGCCGGATGCCCTTATCGATTGGAGCTACATCGAGCAGATCAACATCCAGACCACCGAGGAGTTGCAGTGCCCCATCTGCCTGTATCCGCCGGTGGCTGCCAAGCTCACCAGATGCGGACATGCGTACTGTTGGCCTTGCTTGCTGCACTACCTCTCGCTGAGCGATAAGACCTGGCGCAAGTGTCCCATCTGCTATGACGCCATCCACGCGGGAGATCTGAAGAGCTGCACCATCGAGCAGCTCAGGGACTCGCAAGTGGGAGAGAAAATCACCTTTGAATTGATGCGGCGCCGTAAGGGCTCCATGTACATTGAAAAGCATGCTGCAGGATTGGGCGAAACCATTGAACGTTTCCCATTCGTCTCGGCTGGCGAAGAGGCTAGACGCTACTCCAAGTTTCTAATAGCAAAGCGGTCGGATGTGGGCGCCATCATTGAGAGGGAGCGTTGCGAGCTGCTAGCTGAATCCGATGACTCCTGTCCTGAGGATGTGTTTATCCAGCAGGCGCTTGTGATGCTTCAGGAGCGTGGCGAAAAGTTGGGTCTCGAAAAACCCGATCCCAGAGAGGAGGAGGAGGAGGTACCACCGGCTATTTGCCCAGGAGCAGAAGCCAAGATTGATATTGAGAAGCCTGACGATGCCTCCATCTCGTCAGGAGAGGCATCTAGCAGTCTGAGCTGCTCCTCAAGCAACCATCATAAGTACTATTATTTCTACCAATCCAACGACGGACAAAACATCTACTTGCATCCCTTGAATGTGAAGATGCTGCAGGCTTGCTATGGCACCTTGGATTTGGGTCCCCTACTCATCGAAGCGCAGATCGTGCAGATGGAGCAGCACTCTATGGACGAGGACCATCGTCGCAAGTTCACTTGTCTGGGGCATTTGCCTTTGACCTGCCAGTTTTCAGTAGTGGAGGTCGAGCTACAACCGCCGACTGTCTCTGGAGGAATACTCAAGCTATTCAAAGGTAAGGACACCGTAGGAAAGTATGAACTTTAGAGACTCAGCCAGTAAAATTTTTTTCTGCAGAGGATATTTTACATCGTAAGAAGGAGCGCCAGCGCCGGGATCGTGAGGAGCGTAAGCGAGAGCAGCACATCAACGAGATTAACGATCGTCAGATGGGTAAACTGATTGCCAGTGCAGCCAACCTCAACCTGAGTTCATCTCATGAATTTCCCACTGTGAGTTTCCATTTTCCATCATATGGTTCGTTTATTTATAAGTGGCTTTCCCTTCAGTGCGGCTTTGAGGAGGCTTTGCCCAGTCCCAGTGGCTCTGTTCCCATGACCATCAGTCGCCAGGACAGTGGCTCCCGCTACTCCAGCGTCACTCTGGCCAGCGCCAGTCCCAAGCAGGAGTTGTGGCCGACCATTGGAAGCGGATCTCCCGGCAGTAATGCTGCATCGTTGGAGTTCCAAGTGGGAGCTTGGGGACGGTCAGCTCCACCGCTGCCACGCGTTGTTTTGGCCCCGCGAAGCAGTGAAGAGGATTTCGAGCAGCGATCTGTAGGCCACTGGGGCCTGGGAGAACTTTTGGTAGGAGCCTTGGACCAGAAGAAGCAGAAGGTAGGAGCAGGAAAATCCAATACAGCTCCTGCTGAATCCAAGAAGCAAAAGAAAGCCAAGGGCAAGAAGATGGTTCCCCTGTTTGCCACTGGCATGAATAGAGCTCAATGAAGGAGTACGGAGTAGTGCATCCGCCTATAAAGTTAACAAGATTTATTGTATTTTTTGTTTAATTATGAGAATATTTCAACGTTATTTCAAATAACAAACACGCGATTGTTATTTCATTCAGGATTTGAAAAATCATTCAGCTAATCTATAATTTAACCCAACTTATATTCACATTACTCATAAGCATAATCGATACAATAAAGGCAGCAAGTAAAATATCAAATGTTACTATTTTTCCTTTGTCAAATCGTAGTGTTATGAATGTATTTTAAACTGGTAATTGTGTGTTGACATTCAATTGACCCCTGATTGTTTTTTTCGTAGCTCCCAGTGGAAGGGTAGAAATGACGTGCCAGTATTGCGTTGTTCCAACGAATTACAAACGAATTAATTTACATTTGAAAGGATAGAGAAAGAGGGGAAATTTAAAGGCTGGCCTAATCCGTCGTCAATCGCTGCGACGCTCGTACTCGAGATCTGGATCTTCGGCTTCCGCCTCGTCGTTGGCACTTGGAGAAGGATTCATCTGGCCGCGGCGCTTATGTTTTCTGTTGAGGGATCCCCCACTTCCCGCTCCGTATTCGGGCGGCAGCTCCATGTACTCGTCCTCGGACCCTTCGCCATCTGTTGGGTCCGCATCGTCACCGTTGATGGACCCATTTGGACTGCCCGGCGGACTGAGGGCCTGTATGATCCGGCCCTTGGACTCGTTCCACAGGTTGTTGAGCCGCTCCTTTCCAAACAGCAGCAGGAAGGCATCAATGAACTCGCGCGACTTCTCCTCCCACTTTGTAATGATGTCCACCTTGACTTTGGTTAGTTCCCGCTTGCCCCGTGTCTTCAGCTCGTCCATCTTGTTCTGCAAGCGGAACTTCTTCTCGGAGAGAAAGGACACGTTCAGCTCCTTGGCCGAGTAGCCTCTGGCTAGATTCCTGCGCACATACACATCGTAGTCCTTCACGATGCGGGCCACAATGTCCGAGGTGGACACACCCTCTGTTCTCTCCGTGACCACGAACATTCCCTTCGCCTTGAGAGGAGCATAGATGTCATTGACTCCGCCAGCGCCGTAGGGCAAGTCATCGTGAGCCACGAAATCGATCTTGTGCTCGTTGAGGTACTCTTCATTTATCGACCAAGGAGCATTCGGAACGATCTATCGGAAAAGAAGGAGAATTTATCTTAAGTATACCAGGTATTATAACATATATTAGAATAACTGATCATATATATCACGTATTATGTGCTTTAAAAAATATTTATAATGACCTTATGTTTCTACAAACTGACCTCATCCACATAGCGACAATGTCGCACGGCCTCGTACCGCTCGAATCCGTTCATCACCGTGCGGCCCTTCATCCTAAGGGTCAGCTCATCATTGCACACGCCCACGATGAGATAGACGTTGGGAAATATGTTCTTCGCCTGCATCAGCTGGCGGGCATGACCCTGGTGGAACAGATCGTAGATGCCATCGGAATACACCCGCACCCTACGAGACGTCTTTCCGGCTCTGGCCATCTGGTAGGTGATCCTCTGGGTGTAGTCACACCGCTCCAGCTCCAGCATGGCCTTGTCGTCGTAGGAAAAAGGAGCTGGCTGGCAAATATTCTGGAAGAGATTGGTGTACATAAGTATACCTGAAGATAAATTATAGGTATAGGACTTACAAAATCCTCGAAATCCATAAACAGCGGCAGCATCTTGAACTCCAGCGGAGAGGTAGGCGTCGCAGGAGCCGTGGACACCGGGGAGACCTCGTCCTCTTCGGGCATTTTGTCCATTGCTTACAAAAGAAAATATATACACGGCTCTAAGTACAACACAAGTGGTCCGCTCGAGGGGCTTTCAGCCGGACGACTGATTATATAAATTGAGACGGAGCCGGCATAGAACACACCAGTCTACTCTGTCGAGGATTGAGTTCTGACTACGAGACTCTGATGGAGAGATGCCCGCCAACTGCGCACTAGCGGCGATGAGAATAAATTGGCGGCAACTGGTGGCGAATCAATACAATTGAGTCCGGAGGCTGGCGAGGCACACGACTTGGTGGCGGCTCTAGGCCCGGATTCATTGCTCATCTTCAATTGCCGCAAATTGAGGAGCAAGCAAATAGGAAGCGGCGGCGGGTGGTCGCCTGACTTGGCACGGGTCCACCGATCCGATCAGGCGATGGGCTTGCAGCTATATATAAACCGCAGCGCCATTAAACAAATCAGTGAACCGCCTCCAGCCGGTGAATGGAAGCAGTCGGCTAATTGCGAGGGAATGGGTGTCCAATCAAGGCGAACGGTTTCATCATCGGTGGCGGGCGCAAGAGTTCCGCAATTGCCTTAGATGGCGACTGAATCGGATGCGCAATAGCTGGAGAAGCAGTCGACTACTCATGCTTGTGGGTATGATGCAAATATCTTATAGATAATTAAAGAGGGTGGTTGATTGCATTTCCATTTCTCTTAAACTTTATAATTTCAACCCACTCGAGTTCTTTAGACTCTTCTGCCATCTTACATTTAATAATTTCTTTTTTCATTACCTTTAAGGCTAGTTCCTTTACGTCTTCAAATTATTACGCCTTTTCTTTCGATTCAATTTTTATTTTTCAAAAAATATTTAACAAAGCATTTGCAATAATTCCGCTATTGCCAACTGTTTCTTGTTTTTTTGAATTTTCCGAATGCGTTTTGTTTGGTTGTTTTCTCTATAATTGGTTGGTGTTCTTGTTGTTGTTGTGTTTGTTAACTTAGTTTAATGTTATGCGAAATAATTTAATATAAATATTTCTAGATATTTTGCGGCACCTGGAACTAACGCTGCCGCCGCCGATTTCATGCACGATCCGCCGAGTGCCTAATACAAAAATGAGTCTTTTCTGCGTTGGTTGCTTTGTCCCACCACACACAGCTGAATTAGCTACAGGTTTCCTCGATTCCCTCGATCCTCAAAGATGGCGATGGAAAGGTGGAGTGGCTGAGTGGAGTAAGGAGGAGAACACGAGTGCCAACTAAAACTAGGGGATTACAGTACCACTTAGGGCTAGAGTAAATAGAAGTGGGTTCCGGTTCGATTTCGGGTGGCCTGCGAGTGGCGATCCTAGGGCTTCTAGGGTGTGCCGACGAACTACTGGTTGCAAACGAGTCAATTTACAGTAGCATCAAAGACAGTAAGAGAAGAAGAAAAGGTCGTGCTGCTGTCCCGCACTAGAATCAATCGCTGCGCCGCTCGTACTCCGCCTCCTCGTCCCCATCCGCACCCAGTTCCGGTGACCGGCTCTGCAGGCTCTGGTAACTGCGGCGGGCCAGCGAGGAGCGCTTCTGCTTTGGCCGCTGCTTGCCGTTCAGCGAGCCACTGCTGCCGCTGCCCTCGCTCAGCTTCTCGGCCATCTCCAAGTACTCGTCAATGTCAGTACCCTCCGTGTCATCGCCGTTCACCGATCCCGACGGACTGCCCGGCGGACTGAGCGCCTGCAGCAGCTTGCCCTTCGACTCGTTCCACAAGTGGTTGAGGTGCTCGCGCCCGAACAGCAGCAGGAAGGTGTCGATGAACTCGCGCGACTTTTCCTCCCACTTGGTAATGATGTCCACCTTCACCTTGCTCAGCTCCCGCTTGCCGCGCGACTTCAGCTCGTCCATCTTGTTCTGCAGCCGGAACTTCTTCTCGGACAGGAACGAAACGTTCAGCTCCTTGGCCGAATAGCCTCTGGCCAGATTGCGACGCACATACAGATCGTAGTCCTTCACGATCCGGGCCACAATGTCCGAGGTGGACACGCCCTCAGTGCGCTCCGTGGCCACGAACATGCCGCGCGCCTTCAGCGGTGCATAGATGTCGTCCATGTTATCGGTTCCGTACGGAATGTCGTCGTGGGCCACAAAATCGATTTTGTTGTCGGCAATGAACTCGTCGGACAGCGACCATGGTGCATTCTGAACAATCTGTGGGGGAAGCGTGTTATTGAGTGATAAGTCTAATCAATGAGCGGGACAACCCACCTCATCCACGTAGCGGCAGTGACGCACTCCCTCGTACCGCTCGAAGGCGTTCATCACGGTGCGTCCCTTCATGCGGTGGGTCAGCTCATCGTTGCACACACCGACGATTAAGTACACGTTGGGAAAGATGTTCTTGGCCTGCATCAGCTGGCGGGCGTGGCCCTGATGGAACAGGTCGTAGATGCCATCGGCGTAGACCCTCACCCTGCGGTTCGTCTGTCCGGAGCGGGCCATTTGGTAGGTGATCCGGTTCGTGTAGTCGCACCTCTCGCGCTCCAACATGGCCTCCTCGTCGTGGGAGAAGGGCGCTGGCTTGCAAATGGTCTGCAATAGAAAGTATCTATTAGTTCGGTTGTTCAACTGTTGGATGGAGAGTCCTCTCCCTACACAATGATCTGCAATATTGTCACACATGGCTAAGAATTCCTCTTACAACTAGAAAATATATGCTTCACTAATAATTCAATTGTACTTTGAAATGATTTCTAGAACTGTCAAGCCCAATGGGTTACTACATACATGTACTTCCCATAAAAGCAAATGACCAATGGAATTATGGAATGATTTACTTAAAAAACCCCGGAACCATTTAGTCCAATCTTATTATCCAAAAAATCAACGATTCTCACCGCAAAATCGGAGGCACCGCTGCCATTGAAGAATTGCTGCGAGGTGGAGGCGGGGACCACCAGAGGACCCGGCGACGTCTGCTGCTGAGGGACGTACTTGCGCTTGACGCCGCTGAGGTAATCCGACGTGGAGGCGCCGGCGATGGCGGGCAGCAGGTCCTCGGCGGCTGCTGCTTCGCCTCCGTCGTCGGCGTCGCTCTGTGAGATGGTTCGTGTGCTGTCCCGCAGGGTGGTGGCCGCGGTGGTGGGCTCACTAGCTCCCTCGCTGACCACCAGCACGCTCTCTAGCTGGCCCACGCCCTTGGACTTGGACAGCCCCTTGCCGGGGCTGCTTGTGCGCTGATCCTGGACATCCGAACCCGAACCCGATCCGTTTGAGGCGCTGGTGGACGAGGGCATGGCAATGGCTGTCTCGTAGGTCCGCTTCCGGGTGGTCAATGTGGAGGCGGCGGAGGAGGCGGTGCTGCTGGGCGTGGCCGGTGGCGATGTGCTGTTAATTGTGCTTTTGGCGAGTATCGATGAGGTGGCCATCGCAGCGAATGTTTGGGAGCGGCAGTTTTAACGGTTTCGCAACACGGTGACGCAGGAACAGAGATTCAAGTGGCTTTCAGCTGGAAGAGATGGAACAAGATTAGATGGGTTTAATATTGATGGAAAACTAAATAATATATAAAAAGCTAAAATAGAGCCTTGACAATTGTACCAATTTTAAAGATCCAAAGTGTGTATTTTTTTATAAGCATCTTAATAATAATTTTATAAAACTCCTCTAAAAAATGCATGTGTAAATCGCGTAAAAAAAGTTTTGGTTGCAACATATCGAACATAACATAACCACCATTACGAAATTGGAAAGTTTTTTTTTAACCCAGCTTAACTTGTTATTATGAATTCGTTATAATTTTAAACATAATTAATCAATTTTATTCATTCATGGAAATGTTTAAAATGGTGTAATACACATTGGCCCTTTATTTATCTTTTTTGTTTGGTTAACGAAGTTTTATATTAATCATTAGCATTTATTAATTTATTTTCAATCAACAAAACATTATTTTCACTTCATAGAAAACAGAGCAGATTTTATTTTTATTAGTTTAATGTATACTTAAATGGTATGCACTTGTTTACTAAACAATTTAAAAATAAAATCCAATAAAGCCGTAAACATCTCTAGGTAAACAAAATTATTTTTGAAATTAAATTGAATGCATTTTTGCATAAACAAAAACACATTAACTTACTGAGGTGGTAAGCAATTTTGGACTACAGACAATCTTTTTATATTATAAAAACCAATCCAAGCAGATACGAGTATCAGCTATCTTTCTTATTAACCCACTTATGTTGAACTCAAGTTGCCAATTTCGCTGACCACACACGTGACATCTGACCCTACTCCCCCGGCCACGCCCCTTTTATACGAAGTTGAGGCAAATCGATTTCGATTTTAATTGCCAAATGGATGATTTAATTTGCCACGCGCACCGAACCACAGAAATTCCCTAGAAATAAAGCGCAACTGAAAACTGCTGGTAAACAAAAACAACAGAGACGGGTTGGTTGGTGGTAATAATAGACACGTAGTATTCTCGTTCTCGGAGCGGAGTGAGATGAGCAACTGAAGCAATGGGGGGGCAGCAGGCTGGGGAGGCAAAGTGGGCGGCCGAACTAGTTCCGAGTGGCACTGCACTTTACGTAAACAAGGGCGGACGGAATAACACGTGATGACCCAGTAGCCCAAAACTGGAGCCATTTCGATACCGCCCTTCTATAGATAATGGTATAGCAAACCCATACACCTCGTAATATCTAAATGTATTTAATCATATATTTGAGCTACCAGGAATTTTCTTGTGCTCACTCAATGACGAATTTGTGAAGGTCGTCCAAAATCAGTTTTTGTGCCAAAAAATATTGATGCTGTATGCGAAATGATTTAACAAGATCGTCATGTGGCATACTGGGGCACTATTTGGTCATGACTATTTTTTTTATATTTATGAACTTTAATGACGAAAATAAGAAAATAGTTTTAATAAGAATAGTACATGCACTTTAAACCTTGTGTCTTTTAAGAAAAATATTCTTTTAATACCGTCTTTATAAAATACCTCTGTATGCTATAATATAATGTATTTTTTTATAGGTATCTTTGGATGTGTGTTTTAAGGATGTTATTAAAGATAAAATATTTTTTACTTTAAAGAAACTTCAGACATGGTGTATTTTTAGATAGACATTTAACCATTAAAATGTGCTTCATAAATTTGAAACTTTTCCAGCCAAAAACACACTGTGCGGTCAGCTGTCTGGTGCGTGGCTAACAATAATTTAAGGTAGACAAACGATTTCTCATGTTTATTCATCATGGCACACATATCTATTAATCTACATATGTGGCTTACGTCGGAATATTTCTTGGCATTGAGAATACGTCAGAGTTTTCTACACACTTTGCCTTCCTTATCTCGAGATCCCCTAACAAACCGATTAGTGAAATTCCACTTGGAGTCGCCAAATGAGGTGCAGAGAGTTATTTTTGGGAGTGTATTTTTGAGGTGTTCAAGGTTTAATCGAGACCTGAGTCACTTGGCACTTTCAGTTCAAGTTCAAGAGATGAAACTCCGAATAAAATCAGATCTGATGTAAGCGTTATTTGGGAACCAAGCCAGTTGTGTCTCTTTTAAGCATGATAATTTTGTTGCCAAGTTGAATTTTATTTAACACTTTGGCAACTTGTAGCTCGAAACGTCAGGATGGTACGATATACGTAAATTTTTCCATGTAAGATAATTTTTCATATCATAAAAAGTTGAAAAAGTTTCAGAGTTATATAGAGAGATACCGATTTTTTTCATAAAGGGGTTACAATTATTTATGTCTCTGAATTTTCGAACATTTTAGTCATGAAAAAACCATATGTACATATATAACATTCCCCAGCATACAAATTGTTCTAGGAATATCATCAAAGTGATTCATTGCTCTCATAACGATAAAACTGTTTCTGAATTTTGCATGTTTCTTGCTATTATCCAAAATTTTCCGAAAAATTAATTTTTTATTATTTCTTTGAAACCACATCAGTGAATCATTTCTTCCAAGTTTTTTATTTAAGCAAACTAGAACGGAAGTTTATAATCAAAGCTGTCAAATCGATTAAGATTATAACAAAATGATTTAACAATATGACTAAACGTGTGCATGAGATATTAAATCACTTCTTATCATGATGATTGTTAAAAACGAATAATTTAAAAGAGTGAAAGCAAATGGTAGAAGCAATGCCACAAATCCGAAAAGATGATAAAGCCAACATATCTAATCTACCTTACGAGTTTCCACTGAAATGACTTCAACTTTTAAACAATAATGACGAAGAGCCGCCTCCAGCAAAGTGATTCAAAACGTAAACAAAGCCCGGAGAGACTTCCATTTGAAACTACCGGGGCGGAGAAGTGGTTAACTGGACGAGTGTGGCACCCGTAAAATCGATTGTCAAATTGCCGTGCAGTAAAAGCAGGTGAGCGATAAGATTTCCCTACCTGCTTTTACCTTATCTGCGAAAAGAACAATATTTGTGGGTGACTGGCGCTTCCGCTGCACTCGGAATCGCGAATATCGAAACACGATAATTGAGTTTGGCGGAAACGAGCCGTGTTTCTACCACTACTATCTCCAGCGATAAGACGAACACAGACTAACTTATACTTAATTACAGTAAGCACACAGCAAACACACTCTCCAAGCCTGATAATCGGACGGAGCGATCTTGCCAGCCTGGCAAAACGGATGGTGGGCAAAGTTCCCTATCAGTGCGGGATTATTTCTTTATACTAGGTACGTATTTTCACCCAGGCGGAGGCCATGCTAACCCTGTGACTATCAAATGTGTGGAGCCACTTGAAAGATCATTTTAAATCGCCTGATTTAGCATTAACGCTACATTTTTCTTCGTGGTAATATCTTTTGTGAACGTTATTTAAGACAAGCCTATTTTTGAGTTAGAAACTTCAATGTAATACAAACTCTTGAAAAGAGTCACACATATTTTTCTACGGATATACACCCTTAATTGTTTAAGTAATGATAGCATTGTTTTTCGTACACATTTTCTGTTACAGTTTACTTGTCAACACGGGAACCGGATGTGTTCAGATTATTCGAAATGATTTGTTAAATTAGATCATCCGAGGAACGTGTCGAGATCATTAAAAAAATGTGTTGTTGTAAATTTACTCTGGACTATGCGCAGTACCATATTTTAGCAACCGTAGTAAGGGGCTAAGATCCCAACAGGCCAAAAACCTTTCGCGAATCTTAGGGTAGAGTAAGAAATGATTTTGGAGTTTGCCTTTTGGCTGTTCGTTCGCTTTTGGTCAAGAGCGAAAGGTTGAAAGTACAGTTCTGAGTTCGAACCCTCGAAATAAATGCGAATCCCAAGCATTATTCACATCTCTGAACGTACGAGTGTTTTTGCCATTGATAAGCTGCGATCGGTGGACAATTATAGACTGAACTTGGGGTGTACTACACTCTACTATACTATATTGGCAGTGATAACCTTGGGGCTTATCAATAATGGATGAATACACCGAAAATCGGAGCTGACGTCAACTGTGATTTTTGGATGCTACGTGCTAAAATATACTCTCTGTGGGAACTACTATCGTTTAGGGAATAGGAACTGCAATTTGCTTATAGACACGATTTGCTGGGCCACCCTAATAAAATTTTATAGCGGTTTAGGGTTCGAAAGGGAGGGAGAGAGATTAGATTGCCTGCAATTGCACAATACTTGGGGCTATCGCTGTCTCTATCGCACGCGCCTACGCATTAAAATAGGAATTCCATTGAGAAGCCAAAACAGCTGATTCTGATTGTGCGTGTGATCTCTCCAACCACGCGCACCCACTCTCTCATTCTCCCTCTCTGTCGCCTCTCTCTGTTGTGTTTGTTTGGCTGGAAAAGAGCGGCCACGCAACGCAAGGCAACGGTAAAAAGGCGCTTGGGAAAGTGGAGCAGTGAGTAAGACTTGCCCCATTGGAATGACGCTGCCGCCTGGGGAAATCGTACGATCGCAGGGCAAAGTGCGGCCCCTAATGACGCGTCACGAGAGTGAGAGAGAGAGTGGGTGCCCGTTGCAGGTTCAGGCGCAAAAATCATACGACAAGCATGACGTGGCGACGGGCCAATTAATGGCGTCGTCTTGCCGGCTGCAAAGAGCAAAAGCAACAAAACAAAAGGAGGAAAAAATCGATAAGCCGCGGCGACAGCGCAGCAGCTGTTTGGCGAGGGGCATAAACAGAGCAGGAGAAGGTGATTATGTAAACAAGCGCCTTGAGGAGCAAGAAGAATCCAAGACGCACATTGCCCAAATGAATTCGAAAAAGAGAGCTCTCTCTTTTCGTCTGCTCACGTCATCCTCTCCCATTGACCCGCATTGAAAAATCATCACACACAGCAAACCAAAATAGTTTCCACTCTCCACTTACTTTCCACTTTCTTCCAACTCGAAACGGAACGGTTCTTTCGTTTATCGATTGGCCTTCTTTCGCCCTTCTGCTGTTTAATCTTCGATTTTGAAGCGGAACTCAATGGTTTTCAGCTGGAATGACACACACGCACGGAACTCGGAGCACTCGTCGCTCGGTCTGTCGAGTTAGCACTTTTTGTTTGTTGTTCGTCGGCCGATTTCGCGATTTCGAATAACGCCAGGCGAACGAAACTTTTTTGTTGTGACGGCAGTGTGGTCGCGCCGATAGCAATACCACCTACCCCGAAATTAAATACCGTCTCAGTTTCGAGAAATACCATTTATATACCAAATAACTAAAATAATTAGGGGACTCCCCCAAACTATAAAAATACTGAATGCAGCCATACTGTAAATATGATTTTAATTTAGTTAATCCCCTACTTAAAGTTTCTATAATAGGGGCAGGCTAGGAGATCGGTTTTCAGATGGTTTATGATGATGGCTTTAAGCTGACGTTAACAAAAAACCATACTCCATTTTATAAACTAAGTTTCCATTTAATAAAAATATAACATCTCATCATCGTTTTGTTTAAAAATTAGTCAAGGATTCATATAAAAACTTTATTTTCAATACTGCTATAACATTGATACTCCTGAACATTTTGTTAATAGTATTTTAATAAGTCACCAAGTAAAATCTGTCATTATTAAAATTGGTAAAAAAAAGGATTGCACAATGTTTTTTAAAATTATTTTGTTTCTAATCGCCCTCGAGGTAATTCTACACCCAATTTTATTTCAGCTTAAAGATTTTGTCTTCCAGTGCAACCGGGTATTTGGTATAGGCCTTCAAAACTTGATCCTAGAGGCGCACAATCGCAGGAGGGCCAAGTACGGAAATCAACCGTTGGTCCTGGACGATAAGCTCAGTCAGGAATGTAAAACATTCGCAGAGGCAAGTCCTTTATAATTGAATCCCAGAACTCCTTTAAAGGATATGCACATGCTTGCATATGTAGATTTATAAAAGACTTGTAGAAATATTTGCTCTATCTTTTATTATAATATATTCCATATCCATCCGATTGTGTGCATCCATTTTTTTTTTTCGAATCAAAAAGTTTATTTTTGAAAATATAAATTTTTTCAAATTGTCAATAATAGAACATGTACATATATTTTTATGTGGTACCACTTTGTTGTCTCGGTATATCCTTAAAAAGCTTTTAAACAGTTCTAACCCTCAGAAATTAGTTAAGGATGGATTCGAAAACATTTGCAAAGAGGACCATTCAGATGAAGACTTAGAAGGGGACTGCGCTCATACCCATTCGGTCTTAGACGGAGGTGGCCCTATTGATGGCAGATTTACCCAAAACGTATGCGTTTTTCGTGATTGTTTTCCCAGGGCTTGTGTTCGAGATTGGTTCCATTATCGAGGCTACCGTAATAATAAGAAATATTACAAATTTACGGCCATGATATGGAATGCCTCCACTACACTTGGCGTTGGTCTGGCGAGAGTGTAAGTCATGGATATATCTACCCATATCGGTCGATAGTGCAAGGCAATCTTTCCGCAGAAAGGATACGCGGTTCTTAGTGGTGAGGTATGTTCCACCTGGAAACATCCTTAAAGACATGGAATTTAATGTGCCCAAACGACCCACCCATTTTTGGGATAAAGCAGAAGAAACAGTTGACGTTGACCAGTACGCAGTACGCACTACCACTGACCGTAACTCTGGCTCCAATGCAATTGCTAACTGGATCTTAAAAACGTACATTTTAACACAAATATATTCGGTTGTTCAACCTATTTTTTCGTCCTTCCTAGGGATTATTTAAAGCAAACGCCACTTTCAAATTTCATTAATGTCTTTTGCGTATTTATTGACTTTCAGTGTCTTAAGGTTTTATCTGCAAACGGGTTTGGCTAAAAATGTATTGTAAAAATAAAGCTTGAAAATAACAAACACCTTTGGATAATCTCATTTCACTCACTCTTAAAATACCAAATACATAGTTTATACAAAATATTCGTTATAAAAAAACAAAGATTCTTTGGTAAATCAACTAAATCAAAAGCTACCGTTGAAGTTGGAACTCAGGAGAATTGACTGGATTCGGTTTCGGGCTGGGGGCCTTATCAACTAGCTACACACACGCATACGTTTCATATATATGTAGATTTTTGAACAACATTTTAGAATTCTTTATAGTAAACGTCTTAATTGCACAGTAAATGTCTTTAAAATTCGATTGCGTCGATGACAAGGAATTTTGTTCAACTTTGGCTTCAATGTTCCCGGGACTGGCGCGTTCATCCCCCCAAAACGTTCAGCGATTGACTTGGTTTCTTGGCAAGCTGTCGAGTCGAATGGCAAGTGGCTAGGCTTGGGATTACAACTAGAATTAGGTGTAATAGGGGGAAAGTGTTCCGCCGCTTCATATTAAAAGCTAACAACGAATTCGAGAGTTCCGAGATTCCTCAAGAGCATATGTATGTGAGTATTCTCTAGGTCACTGGTTGCAAAAATGTCCGTGGGAGAGGTGTGGTATGAGTATTGCAGTGGGTGTGGAGCACCCGCCCCTCAGCATTGGGACGGTATGCGAATGCCCTGTGTGATTGAGTTCTCCAGCACTATGTGACAGTCGTCCAGCGGCTCGAGGATTTGGATGAGAAAGGTAAGAAGGTTGCGGCGCCTCAGGAAGCTCTCCTCCTCGTACATCTCGTGGGTGACCTTTGTCAGGGCCATGGGCTTTATAAGCCGCGTCAGCAGGTGCTCTCGCAGGCTCAGACAGATCAGCAGCTGGAACTTGCCGTCCTTGCCGAGCGCCGTTCCGTTGATCTCGTCCATCAGCTGGACGTACAGACGCCAGATGCTGGAGATCTCCCGGCGCTGCAGACTGTTGCCGCCGCTCCCGCTTCCATTGCTGAATGAGGAGTCCAGGCTCGACGCCGAGTCCTCCAGCTCCATCTGTAGGTTGTGTTCAAAGAGCTCCTTAACCTTGGCTGTAAAGGAATTTAAAACAATTATTAGTAAACTGGATTTTAAAATAGTATAGCCGGGTTCAAAAATCTGAGCTCGATTTAAAAGTGACCCTTACTGAAATAGTCCCAGATGTACAGATTCCGTCCAAAGAACCTCGCCGAGCGGAAGCCGCAAAGAAAGACTTGCTCCAAACACTTGACCAGTCCATCATCCCCGCACAGTAGGTTGGTCAGCGTGCCCACATCCCGATCCCGGCTGGGTTTGTAGTGCCATTTGACCAGAACATTGACGCAGTTCCCCAGCTGGTGCTGAATCTCTGAAGGCGCCAGCGACTCCTGGCGTTGCACACTGGGACTGCGTGTACGGGGCGGAGTGCGAGTGTCCGCACCTGGTACCAGTTCTGCATTCTTGACACTCGTCGACACCCTTTGGCCCACCAGCAGTCGCTCCGTGGAATCGTCATCAACACCGCGGCCCAGCCAGCGGCCACAGGGAAATCTTTTGGGCGGGGGAAAATAAATATGATGTTACACACGGGGACCACGGTTATCCGGCTTGCTTTTAGCTCACTTGTAGGTGTGGCCGGTGACCTCATTGCGCATCACCACCTGCTCCACCAGCCACTTGTGGCTGGGTCCCGAGTTGTCGTGCCCAATGCGCATGGTTGTCAGTAGGCCAAGGTTCTTGTACTGCGAATGAAGGGCCTTGGATAAGTAGGGAAGCTCGTCCAAAAACCGACTAACTTACGTGGAAGATGAACTCCAAGGATCCCTTCGGCACGGGCACCCGTTGTGTCTCGTTCATGGTGCCGGAGACCATGATCCACACGTTGCTGGAGGTGTGGTATGAGCCGTACTTGCGGGAGGGGAAGATCACGACGCGGTAGGGCAGCTCTGTGGGCGGGGAAGGGAATCGAAGCCAAAAGGCCAATAAGCACAGACAAAATATAGGACTGCTAGCGGTGGGACCTACTCGTCGTGGGGTAGATGTTGGTGAAGCTGAAGTAGTCCACCGTGTTCAAGGTTAGCAGGTGGTAGAGAAACTGCTCCTTCTCCTCCTCACAGCGCAGGAAGGCCGATCGCTTGTACAGCGACCGCAGCAGGGATTCGTCGGAGAGCAGGGTACGAAAATGCCTGGACAGCAGCTTCTTCTCCAGCGACAGACGCACCCAGGCGCGGGTGTAGCCAATGTGCGTCTTGATGTCCGCCATGGCCAAAACGTTCCTAAGGGAAACCAGTTATTGAATGATTTTTGGGTTTTTTCTTTTTGCCACTCACTTCACATCGAACTCCAGGGACTCGGGTAGTGGACACAGCTGTTCCAGGCCGACGAATTTGTTCCGATCTCGTGAACGACTGCGATTTGGACTGGGCGGACTGTCGAAGTCCGTTTGGAATGTGGAGAGATCTGGAACGGAATAGAAAAATCTTAAGCAAGTGCTAAACAAAAAGGGAATCACATCTTACAGTCCATTCTCTTGCGCATAGCGTTCCAGGCCAACGCAGGCGAGGCTGTGGCAATGGTCATCTTGCTACCCGGACTGCTGGACACCGGCGGCAGTTGCTCCGCCCCGGAACTTTCGCCTGCCCCGCGCGCGTCCTGCACTTCGAGGTAGGCCTGCAAATGGGACCACAGGGCGGACTTGCCCTGCTTGTTCTGCAGGCCGTGCGACCAGATCTTCTCCAGCAGGTCACACATGCTGGCTATCAAGGTGTTCTCCTCGATGCCATCGCCCTTTAGCCCCAGGGCCACTGCCTCGTTGCCCATCTTCTCGAGCAGCATGCGCTTGGTCTTCGACTTTATGTCCTGCAATGAAATAAGTTAGAAACATTATGTTTCAAAATACCAGCTAGCCAAATCCCACCTTCAGCAGTCGCTCCACAAACGTCCAGTTGGCCTGGGCTATCAGCGCTGGACTCACATCCGCTGTGGTCAGGTTGGCCGAGAGTCGATTGATGGCATTGGAGCCGGGCTTCTGGTCCAGCGAGATCTCCCTGGCCCGCCACTTGTTGCCGTTCTTCACCCGCCGCAGGCTGTTGCCTCTGTTGGGGATTCGGATGCGGATGCGGAATCGGAGGCGGATTCGGATACGGTTTTTGGTTTAGGTTGGTCGGTTGGTTGATGGAGGTTAGCGCGGATGAGTTTGAAGTATCGGTTTGAGTTTAGTTTAGAATTTCGAACGAGAACAAAGAGACAGCGGATTAGTGGGGATTCCGAAGGGGACTGGAGGATGGGGTGACAGGGTGACCGGGTGGAGGAGGAGCAGGCGGTGAGCTGTGGGCGGTGTGCATGCGGTGCAATTTACGGCGGGGAAACGGAACAAAACAAAACGAAAAGAAGAGTCTCGGTTAACGATTGGAGAATGCAGAATTTATTGTTAAGTGGTATGCACTAAAAGAAAACAATACGAGTAGAAATAAAGATATGTGGGTACCAACGGAAGTGAGTATCCAGTGTAAAACGCGCTACTTGATTCGAATTGATCCAATTTGGGCTAACAAAGGTACATGAAATACATCTACGTACAACTAGGTGTCTATGGTATCTATGTATAATTAACATTTAGGTAATATCAAACGTTTGTCAGCCCTTTTTAGGGGCTAAGGTACATTTCTCTCTTGTTATAGGATGAGTGCGGGTGTTAGAAGGGGTTTGGGACTGGTGTTTGATCTTAAAGCAGGACGTGCTCTACGACTAACTATACAAGAAGGGGAACAACTGTGGGAACTAGCCGACTAGGGCAACTACCTCGAGGCGCACTCCTGGTTGAGGACGCCCTTCTCGAGCAGCGGAAAGCTGCGGAAGTAGGCCGCCCGGTTGGCCAGAATCTCGCTGGGCGGCGTCACCTCGATGTCGATGCAGTTGAGCCGCTTCTCGAAGCCCTGCTGGGAGTCCTGGCTTAGCACGCACGGCTCGTAGCTGGTTGCGGCGATCATGTTCTCCCCGTGTCGTCGCCTGAAGTGGATGTAAGATATCAAGGAAAGCCATTAAAAATCTATCCGTTACCAAAGTCTTAAAGGTTAAGTGTTTATATAGCACAAATCATTTAACACACCACGTAAAAACTGTCAGAAGCATACATTTTTTAAATTTAATAGTATGTATTTTATCCAAATTGTTATGGTGTTTATTGCTGTGATTATAATCGTTGAGGACGTAAGTCCCGATGGAACGAGTCCATATTCCGCCACCACGTTGAACTCGTTCCTCAAGGACGTTAATCGAGCGAAGAGAGAGTAGGTTGATAATACTAACATCTCATATCAATGCTTAAGTGACACCTTGTCCTTATTAGATTTTGGGACTTTCGGACTGACTATG